AGACACTCTGTCCCTTCTTTGACCCAGGCATTGTTGAACTTGACCCAATTCCAAAAAGTTCCAGATATTGCTTGTTCAAAGAGGACTTGACCGGCACCAGGAAAAATGAACGGCGACTATCCAAACTTTCACCAACTGTTTCAATCCGCCAGATCTGTTTCTATCGTCAGAAACTGTCAGCTACGTCTCATAAACCGTTAATGCCCAGCTCTCGCTACGCTCGGGCCCACGCTGTTCCTTTGAGTTTCAGAAACGCTTAGTTATAACGGACGCAAAAACCAAAACACCGATCTGCTGCTTGTTATTTCTTTATTGTTACACCAACATATAAAAGGAATAAACGAACTAAGCAACTAAGGTCTGAAAACAAATATTACAATAATAAATCCAAGATTACTTCTGACGATGTTTCACTCTTCTTTCTGAACAGCGACCGATGAGACGATGACTGTCGTATTGATGCCTCCGCGAAAATCGGGGAAGTTGATTTTGAGCAAACAACCAAGAATTGATCGTTCAATCTTCAACTCCATTGACACAGGGCTTCAAGCTATAGGTCTGAAGTTTCGGTAGCAGGCGTGTTTATTTTTACGAGATGGGGTTGCTAGCCTCATGTCCAACCCCTCCTCTTCACCAGTCCTACTAGTGGCTTAATGAAGTAAAGTCAAGCGTCGGTCGGTGATCAAACCCCAGGCCACAGCCGTGGCTGGCGAGCATTCTACCACTATGTCACCGACAAACGTTAAATGCGAATGCACCAGCTCAATTTTCCTCCGAGCACGACTCCTCTACTCTGGACTTGGTACCAATATACGATGGATATGTGTCTTTCGCCGTTTGGCAGCGGTGTCCACATAGTCATTACCTCTACTTCTGAGATTCACGAGTTCATCCAAAGGCCAACTGCTCGTCCACGCATCCGAAAAGCATACGAGATAGCAGATAGGAACTCAGCAACTCTGTTTAGTTAGTTAATATAAATGGCACTGCCTAAGAGGATCGAGTGAGTTCTAGGAATAAATAAGATTTAATATTTTTCTACTCTTCAGAAGCCACCGTATTAGTTGCTTCATATGAGGAATAAAGTGGGGAGATTACTCAACGCAAAAGCTTACGAGATCAGCTTCCTCTAAAAAGGAGAAGTTTGGGGGAGACTCGTAAAGTTCAGGAACTTCGCAAGTACGTGACGAATAAAAGTCTCACATAAAACGCAGGATTAATAGAAGCCCGTTTCATATTGAAGTATGCACTGATGTTGACTAGCAAGATAATGAAAGCCCTGAGGCTTTTCGATCCGTCTCAGGGAACACAACTACGCCAAAATCACCCACCTGATTCACAAATTTTACCCACGGTGTGTAAACCGGTGGTATACCAGTACTCATAAAAAATACGAGTGAGACGGTTGAATTAGATAAAGAGGAGGCCGAAAACTTTTCTAAACACTCCTGTAATGTGCACTCGTCTGACCATGACGCCTAGGGGTCTAGTGACTTCAATTTCACCATATATGTCATCAATAATGTTAGGCTATAGAGTGGTTCTTAAACTGTTATCTAGACTGAAGACATGTAGGCCAGCAGGGTCTGGAGGACTACACTGTGGACTCATTCTTCTTAGATGATGTAATATAATACCGACTACGGGGATTTCTTATATGTATCTAACCCAGGCAAGGCTACCTAGGAATCGGATAGGTACAGTTATAAGCCTCATCTTAAAAGGAGGAGGAAGGCGATTGGTGCCAAATTACTGGACCGCAAGCCTGATTTGCCTTGCGGCAAATGTAAGGGGCCAACATCCAGCTCATTTGGATGAAAATGGTTTACTAAAGAAGCAGCAGCATGGATTCTTGCGAGGATGTTTCTGCCTTACAAGCCTATTGTCACGTAGGGGTAAATCGGAATGAAAATATAGCTTTCATAGACCTTAGTAAGGTATAAGGTAGAGCTACATTCAGGCCTGCGTAGTAAACTAAAACACTTTGGATTAGACCGGTGCCAAAGTGATTGGCTTAAGGAATACCTACTATGTGGAAGTCAGACGGTAAAGATGAGTGGATCACTACCCTGGTGGAAACCTGTGACGAGTGGAGCACCACAAGATATTATTCTGAGCCCACTGTTATTCATATCACGCGTAAAGTAATTTTATTCCGTCCTCATTATTACTTGCGGACGACAATAATATCTGGGGAATTCTAAAAAGCTGTGATGGCGGATCAGCCCTACTAGGTGACCTTGCTAAGTTACCTAAGCCAGAAGTCATACACATCGTGCATCTTTGAAAATAAGGAATCGCCTCATACTGACATCATGAATCACCGTGAGCAGTGACTTGAAAAACAGCCGCAGATTTTGACACAGCTGAGACAAAGATTTTCCTAAAACTAGGGACACTTTAACGGTCTTTTAAACGCTGAAATAAATCCGGGGCAAAACTGCTCTGATAGATACATGGCAGGCCTCACTGACAATGACATGTATAAGCAGTCTGTTTATGTTTCAAGAAGGAGGAACTAGTCTTGGAAAGCGCACAAATGGGTGGGAGCCAAATTACTTAGTTCTAACGTTCACTTTTCTTATGATGGAAGCTAAGTTAAATCTGTCGTATATTAAAAGATGCTTTGAGTTTTGAACTTATCAGTATTTTCCCGTCTTAAGTGGCTTTGGTAGGTCATCACTAGAATGGTACTGATCAACCTACTCTAGGATTAGTGCTAACACACCAAAAAGAGGATGTCGGTGACGCTAGTTGCCTGGCGCCTTAAGGCATTGGTGACCATATAGTTATCACTTTGACGTTTAGGATTTACACTGCCATAAACAGGTCAGGAGGTGATCGTCCAAACATTTGGAAAGCAGATATACTTGCAGTCGGAAATGCAGCATCCAGTGGTGTTCCGAACCTGACTATTCACAATGACACGATCGAAGGTGATCAAGAAAGAGCAGAAGCAATGGCAGACTATTTCCCCAAAGTCCTTACACGGGAGCCGTGATTCCCAGTAGGATCAGCTGTGGCTGTATCAGAGGAACACGGGGTACATTCCATTGACGTCGAATAAGATACCGTGCTCAACTGCCTAATGAAACTAGATTCAGAGAAATAAGTGGGTCCCGGTATTCTTCATCCAAGGCTTCTCAAGGAGATTTCAGCTCACATAGCCGGCCCACTGGCCACGATCTTCAAGTTATCTCTCCTAAACGGAGTGCTACGGCGTGGCTGGAAAGACGCAGTAGTAACCCCCTCCACAAAGGAAGATCAAGACAAAGCCCTTCAAATGAAGGGCCTGTTAGTCTTATCAGCGCTTTATTCAAGACACTAGGGAGAATCATCGAGGAGAGTACCATAGCATATCTGGAAATCAAAAATTTGTTATCCAGACCACAGCATGGCTTCCGAGGAAACCTCTCATGCCTGTCAAATCTACAAGCTACAAGAGAAAGCTATGCCAAGTCAAGGGACAAGGGGAGACCCGTTGACGCCATCTTCGTAGACTTCGGCAAAGCCCTCGGTAAAGTTCCTCCCAGGAGACTACTCATGAAGTTGGAAAGTCTCGGCATCAAGGGGCAGGTTACTAAAATGGATTAGGGAATTCCTCATAGATAGGAGGCAGAGGGTTAAGATCAACCCAAAACTCTCATCCTGGTCAACAGTGCTCAGTGGAGTGCTACAAGACACGGTACTCGAACCTCTCCTATTTATTTTGTATAGCGATGAGTTATCTATGCTCAGCGATTCCCCGATGGTCCTATACACAGATGCTCAGCCATACACATCGGACAAGCAAGCATCAGGCCCTACGAACTAGAGGGAGTGAAGCTCGCATCATTTTGGACTCATTTGGATTAAGGTGTCACAGTAATTAACGACTTAAAAACTACAGTACACTGTCACGCGGTGGCTGCACGTAGTTTCAGATCCTTATGGTCAGTTCACAGAGCCCATACTGGAATTACCAGAGATATGTTCACCTCCTTATGTACACCTCCGGTGAGATCAAGACTGGAAAACTGGGACCAGACAGCCAATCCTCGACTTAAAGGGATTCGCATATTCCAGAAAGGATTCAAAAGAAGGCAGCACGTATGATTCTCGGCATGGCTGATTTATCATACGAGGAAAGACTAGACAGTTTAAATCTCTTCTCCCTATCATACCGTAGCCAGAGAGGAGATTTAATCACGGTGTTTAAAATTTTAAATAATGACTACAGACCTGACCTATTCTCTGTTTTCCTTTACACCAGGTCGGAGCACCTTAAAGGACATAGCAGAAGAGTTCAAAAGCCAAGAAGAAATCATACTGCTTTTGAGTAACGGTTCTCACACTGAGTCATTAACCCTTCAAACCGACCCCCAGGAGAAGTGGTGTCTGCAACTTCAACTGATTCATTCTAGAAGGGTTTGGAAAAGCACAGAAATTTGCTAGAAAAGGATATACATAGGCTTTAAGTCTTCTATCCTCAACCAACAAATCTAAATGTGAAACGTTTTCTCTCCATCTAGGATACATTTATGAGGTCACCACAAGAAGGTGCTCAAACCAGGGTCGAACTAAATACGTGTGGAATTTGGATCCTCAGAGTGGTCAACGACAGGAACTCCTTACCTGATTACGTAGTAACAGATCCATCGGCGAACGCTTTCAAAGAGAAACTGGATCTTTGCAGGGATATATATCTGAGGGATTAGCACAGGCAACAAGAGCATTCTATCCTTATAATCTGAGTTTGAAAGCTACTGTCGAACAAATTTAGATTCCCATATTGAGTGATCATAGACTAAAACTCCTTACTCGATCAAATGGCATCAGCCCCATCTTTGAAAGCTCTTGAGGAAGAATTAGTTCTGTACGAGGATGGGTGTTTCATGAGTTAGCAGCGGCTACAAATTCCTTCATATGAATCTAAACAAGTGAACAAAGTCGAATGTGTCTGCTGATACACCCTTATGGACAGCTCATATCTCTAAAGAGTTGTTAGTTTCATAGATTGAGAGAAGTAATCGGCATAGTTTCTAATTAAGAGAAGAGGATCCAAGGATTTTTCCTTGAAAAGTTAAAGAAATCAGCGCGCTTTTCAAGAGTTGTGTCAACAACAAGTGGACAACTATTTTACGGGGATGTCAGTTATTCTTCTTATGATGTCTGTGGATTATACACATTTTCAACAGTAAACCTAAATTACTGTACTTATTAAAAATGTCCAGCAGTAGTTCTGGAGACTATATCGCCAATTATTAAACATATTCTCTACACAAGTTCTATATCCCGTAAATATTTATTTACGGATGCACATTGAAAATATATGACTCTATTTGGATAGGATTTTCTACCAAATATTTTTCATCTCTTCGCCTATTTTCACTCGTATTTCTGCCTTAAAGTTGTACTATCTCACTCTTGAAGTCGTGATGCTGGTGCAAAATGATACTATGAAACATAACATCATTAAGGATGGTGAAAGTCAGCCAATTCAGGCTTCAGTTGAAATTAAACACTATCCAAAAGAAAGGTCTGCACGCAGTACCAAGCGTTCTAATGCCATACGCAGTACTGAGCGTAGTCGTCAAAAGTCATTAAACATTATGCTTTGTGGCTGTCTAGTTCCGGGCACAGAATGCACTAGCAACATAGAACACCATCCTATTGATAACAATCGCCGACTTCTACCAACTAGCGCGATTCAGTCGATGGAGTCTCTCAGTATTTCCAGGAAGACAGGATCAAATCACTCCGTTCAACCTTCTGACACATCTGAAAACTCAAGCGTCGTCAGACTGCAACCAGTGGTCAATTTACCTTCTTGTGCCCTTATAACAGATGCACTTCTCTCACAAACAAAACGAGCAGGTATGATAACTGAGACTATTCCTACCAATGGGACGAAGCGTCAAGGATGGCGAAGTTTCAGATTCAGTCGTAGGAAAGAGGCAAGCGTTGGTAAGACAAAGCATTATGACCCTGTTCTTGGAACAACCGTCACGAGGCCTGTTAAAAGCAGTGCGTCCTACTCTGAGACAGAGAAAAAGTCAGATGTAGACCAGTCACATGTTTTTTCACCTTTACCAAGTCAAGCGTTATCGGAAACTGTAAATACTGATGAGGTGAGTTCTGTGTTAACTATGTATCTGACTGTTCTAATTTCTTACAAAGCCAGCTTAGGAATTGTAAAAACTTTTTTCTGGCTTGGTTTGTGTAGATCATGCCAAGCAAAACTATTAACTGAACTGAGTTTTCTACTTGAAATTGTGCACAAGAGTGTAGGTGTCCAAGCTGTCACAATTCACAAAAGCACAAATAAAGGTAGAGATAAAAGAAATGCGATAAAACCACAATAAACGGAAATGTACTCGAGAGAAGAGATGAGGATAAGTGGGGATTTTCCGAATCTGAAAGGTCATACGGAGAAAACAGATCTGCTCCATTGAGGTCGATTTCGAGCCGTGTCAGAAAAAGCCTCCAGCCACTGACTCGTGACATCTCAAGGATCACGTCAAAACAGTCTTCCTTTTTCTGTATTACTCAAACCGTAGCCGACGGTCAGGTGTTTGATGAATCAGTATCATGTTCGGCTTTGACAGCTCTAATTTCTCTTCCAGCCCAAACCTATATCAGATAACATTGTTCTACGACAAAGTTGACGATTCGGTACGAGTGGAACGTAGTATAGCTATATTAGTTTATAGCGCTTCATAAACCCACCGACTGACTTTCTTACCTTTCGTAGTAATGGCTTTTGCCATATTGTTGCTGGCCATACTGCATCACTCAGGACAAGGAAATGAACATCAACATCCACAGTGAAAACAACTAGTTTTCATATCTACCACATTCAACTTTCACACGCTAGGCTGTGAAATTTTGTAGTTCAATCGGCATTTTCTGCTCATGTTTTGTTTTGCTTATCTTCAGTAATATAGTACTTGAATGCTACATCATCCCGACATAATTAGGTGTAAGTTCTTTAGTGTACTTTTCAGTTACTGAAACATTTAAACAATAATTTGTTTGCTATCGTTTATATAAGTTGAATGCTTTCATTTAATGAGAATAGTTGTTCGTTTGCTTTGGTGACTGACCGTACTTTTGTGAGTTTTAGTTTAAAGCATTCACAAAATATGAACTGACATTTACATGTTACTTTAAGTTTCTACACTTTACATCATTATATGGAATAAAACACGGAAAGAGATAACAGCAGAACGTGAACAATACCGACGATCAAAAGAAAGTAATATTTATTTACATAAATAAGATTTTGAAGTCTGAGATGATAGACAGGTTACTTAATAAGGATTTGGACATTATGATGAATACACTTGTGAAAAAATCTTCACAAAGGAGTGATTTTGACAATTTGTTTTGACAAGAGATGTTCACAAAATCGTTAAATAGACAGATTTTTAAATTCATGGGAAAATACTGTATTGTATTGAGATGGACAGTGTTGTAATATAGGTCTGACAGTAAAAATATCATTTGGTTGTACTGTTATTTGACTGAAATAAAGGTGATTTAGGCTGCAATACCTTCCTGTGCTAAAAAGGTGGGCCTAAGAAATGTTGAATATTTTGTGTCCTGCCTAAATATGCACCTCTTATTATTGTCAGAAAGTTTTAGCAGAGAATTAATGAAGACCTATCTGAAAATTGTACGACCAATCTAAAATCTGCACTTTATACTCAGAGTTCACACCAATCTATTTCTAGCGTCAGATATCTAAGGGCATTACATTTTCACGGCACATGTAGTCAAGAAGTATCAATGACGAGCAGTGTAGTAGTTTACTGGATCCCTTATGTCACCAAACTCTGTGTTGTCCCAGTCGCTAGTGGTTTGGCTTTGTGATTTCCACATCTCAGTGTTGTTTTTAATGGGAAGTAGGTATTGATTAGATAATGATCACCGAAAAATTCATGTTAACTATCCCAGTGATACAGGGTAGCTCATAGAATAAAGCTGACACATACAAAGTATTTGGAATGTTGCTTACTGAATGAAAAGTATTGATCGGCCTTATCCATTGCTGCCATTTGTTAGTCTCTTTACAGTGCACACACTCCAGCCGGCTTTTTCCAAGTTTTGCAGATAGTACCGGTTTAAAGTGTTCCAAACCTAGGATAGGTAGCCATTTTGACTTTCGCCGTACTAATTTGAAATGCGATCTGTGGAGTGATTAGGAATTGTTGCAGGTCCAGCGTTTGTGTAAGTGGCAATCAGTATTTTCCCCCCGGGATTTTGTTGTTCTGAAATAGGTAATCCTGGGACACCGACTTTGTTGAATGTTTTTAGTCCATTGTAGTGATTAAAAGTAGTTTGTTGTTTACAACCATGAAACAAAATATATATATATATATATATATATATATATATATATATACTATTAACTGAGTAAATCGGATATTTTAACCATTTTCTCATTTCTGATTAGTTATGTTTTCGATCGGCGGCGCATAGAATTATTAAGGTAGATGCAAGTCTACTTTATACACCTCGCATCGATATACTTTTTCGTCGGGTAAGCTAATGAAAACTGATTATTGGTTGAAGTTCATTTCGTTTACGTTCACACTGATTTCTAGTTTATCACAGCGTTTCACTTCACTTTCTATTCGCTTTATTTTTTTTAAGCACCACACAGCCTTGCTTGGACCAAAAAGTGAAGCAGATAAGAGTAAAAAGTGTTTTGTCATTGACTTGGATGAAACTCTTGTACACAGTTCGTTTAAGGTGAGCACATTTCTTAAGAATACTTATATCTTGTTATTCCACACCAGTCACTTTACTTATAACTTTCGATACATGTTAGTCATGTTTTCCTCTATCGTAGTTGTCTACTTAGAACTTGAATTCGTTAACTAAGATGTTGCGATTCAACAGTCTGATATAAATTTCTGCATTATGTTGTGGTTGTCTATCACACCATCCGGTTATCCAGGCCAAAGTAGAGTTAGCTTTGTAATGTAAGCACATTGCTTAGGAGTTAAATGTCCATGTCAGTAATTCAGGTAAATGATATAGTTCGTTATTTTTTCCTAATGTAAATGACTTATCACTGCATGTTTTCCTCTCTGTATATTTCATTTTTATGCCAACAGACCATCATTACTAAACAATCACACGCAAATTAACGGGCTTGGCGATCAGCTACATCTCTTATACCCAGGCTTCATTGGATAAACAAGGTTTAATATACATGTGACGCGTAAATTTGAGAATTGATCACCTAAACCACTAAGCTACGTCCATCCTTGCTAGCTGTCTTTGATCATAGGTGCCTGCGTTCTATTTCCCGTGTAAAGTGGCATAATAAGGTGAGCAACATGGAGGTTAGGCGTAGAGTTCTAGGTAAACAGGGGAAATCAATCGACGAAGTCGTGAAGCTACAAAGACTGAGATGGTTAGGACATGTGTTACGTATGCCAAGCCATCGCCTCCCTCGACGAGCAATGTTAGCGGATATAGGGTCAGGCTGGAAAAAAGCTAGCGGCGGTCAAACAAAAACTTGGCATCAGTCAATGAAATCTACAATAGTTGGTCTAAGCCACGTAGAAAGGTGTAGACTTCCAGGCTGGGGTCCTCGGGACGGTAAAAATCTATGGTTGGAAACAATTGGTGACATGGCTCAAAACCGTTCTCAGTGGCGCAGATGCATCCACTCCCTGTGACTTATGATCTTCAATGAAACTGTTTTGTATTTCTTTATTACTCCTTTGTCTCACACCTCTGCTCACTGTTTCTATTATGCTTTTCTTGTACTTTCTTCTCTTGCTTCGCATGCTACACGGAATGTGGCGACTTGAACTTCCGCACATTTGTGCAAAGTTCTATGCCGAAAACAGACAGACAGACAGATGACATAGTGCTGTTAGGGGAGGATGCTGACAAAATGCAGAGTCTTCTGAACACCTTGAGCAGCAATCTTCGTATGTTTGGCATGCGATTCGCCCCTACAAAATGTAAGATGATGCTACAGGACTGGACCACGTCAACTCCTAACTTAGTGATAGGGAGTGAAGTGATAGAACATGTTGACCACTTCACCTATTTGGGAAGTTGTATTAGCACCAACGGACTGATTGGCGATGAAATCTCAGCACGGATCCGAAAAGCTCGAGCTGCTTTCGCTGACTTACACCATCTCTGGCGTAGGCGTGACATCCGGTTATCAACCAAGGGACGTGTGTACTGCTCAGCAGTTCGCTCCGTCCTTCTCTATGGCTCTGAAACATGGCCAATACGCGTTAAAGACATGAAAAGGTTGACTGCTTTCGATCATAGATGTCTGCGATCTCTTTCTCACGTTAGGTGGTTTAATAAGGTAAGTAATGTTGACGTTAGGCGTAGAGTGTTGGGCAAAGAGGGAAAATCAATCGACGAGGCTATAAAGTTATATAGACTAAGATGGCTAGGTCACGTGCTGCGCATGCCTAACCACCGCCTCCCCCGACGGGCATTGCTAGCTGATATAGGTGGCGCAGGTTGGAAAAGGGTAAGTGGTGGCCAAACAAAAACATGGCATCAATCCATGAAATCCTTGACAGTTAAACTGAGTCAGGTGGGGAGATGCAGACTCCCGGGTTGGGGGCCTCGGGACTCTAGGAATCAATGGCTGGAGACAACAGGTGACATGGCTCAAAATCGTTGTCAATGGCCAGCGCAGATGTATTCAGTCTCTGTAATCTTTCATATTCCTTTCTACCATTACCCATTCTGTTTCACTCTTATACTTGTCAGACTGTATTGATTCTCTTTACTCATCTTCTTGTCTACCTCTGTGTGCTATTTGGAACGTGGCAACTCGAACTGCTGCACTTCGGTGCCAAGTTCTATGTTGAATCCAGACAGACAGACAGAAAGACATTTATCAACTCATATTCGTTAAATCTTACTTGATGCATTGTTAAAGAGCCTAACAATGTCGTCTACACTAAGTAATATAATATTCAATATATTCAAAGATATTGGAGCACCAGTAAAAGTTTCCTGTTAACACAGGGACTGTTAAGTATCAGTTGACTGCTAGTCTGTTTTGATTTGCTCTGGTTTACTTTGCACGATTACTTTACTCCCTAATTATTGTTTTGAACTCGGTAATTAATTTTTAGTTAGGTAATATTTTAAAATGAGTAATTTATTGAGTGACTTTGAGTCTCATTTAACTTGCATATTATGTCATGTCTGACTGACTGGTTTCAACGTAGATTTTTGCATAGATGGGCAGCAGTTCAAGTTGCCACACTTCATGTAGCACACAAAGCAAGTGAAGAGAGTAAAGAAAGATTCAAACGAGAGATAATAAACAAAAATATGAAGCGAAAAGAATAGAAATATGGAAGAACAATAGAATTTTATTGGATGTCATGAATCACAAAGTGAATGCATCTGCTCCAGCCATTGAGAATTAATATTTTGAGCCATATCACCAATTTTCTCCAGCTCTCATTGGTTCTTACCTTCCCGAGGACCTCAACCAGGAAGTCTACGCCTCCCTACGTGTCTGAAACTAACTGCCAAGGAATTCATTGACTGATGCCATGTTTTGGTTTGAGCATCACTCTTTTCCAACCTGATCCTATGTCAGCTAACGTTGCTGGTCGAGGAAAGCGATGGCTAGACATGCATGCGTAGCACATGTCCTAACCATCTCAATCGGTATAACGTCACAGTCTCGTCGACTGATTTCCCTTCCTTCCTTACCTAGCACTTGACGCCCCACCTCAATATTGCTCACCTTATTATACCACTTCACACGGGAGATAGAACGCAGGCACCCATGACCAAGGACGGCTAGCCTTTTCATGTGTTCCACTTTCAATGGCCATGTCTCACTGGCAGCCATAAAGGAGGACGGATCGGACTGATGAGCAGTACACACCTCTTTTGGTGTACAGCTAGCTGGATATCACGTCTGTTAAGCCAGAGATGGCTTAAGTTGACGTTTGCCGTATCGATGAAGCACTAAATAAAAGGATTATTTGTGTTCTCTGAATGTAAAATAGAATTTCACAACTGTATAATGTGCACAGATACATTATTTAGGAGAGTAAAAGGTAAGATGGTTCAATTTGTCTGTGATATTGTTCACCTGAGAGATGTGTCTATCCCGATGGATCATTGACTGACGGAACAACAGCATGGAGACAGTTCTCTTGGTTAATGTTTTTCAAGTTGCTTTGCCTTTGGAGCTGGCGAGTTATACAAGTGTGTACTTAATCCTAAGTGTAGTGTGAAGAGCTGTTGTTTACTTTTGTTTGAGCAATATATAGTTTCTGATTTTACAGGCACTTGGTCACATGTGTATTGTGAGTATATTGAATATGCTCAACAAGGAAATACAAATACAGTAATCATCCGTGGAGATGTGTGTGCGTGTGACCTTTTAGGTGTGGTCTACACAGATTTATCACTTTGTAACTATATGAAATTTGTGAATTAGTCACCAGGTAGTTCTTTTAGGTATTTTGTACGACTTTGTTTCTAAAACAAGCAACAAATGTTAATAAAGCAGGATTTAATGAATCCTTCGAGTTTCGGTGGAACTCTTCAGCTGAATACTCTTAATACAGTAATATATATACACTATCAGAGATTGTGAGGTAGATATATGACTGATAAGTAAATAAACTACAATGATTCCAGCGGGTAAAACAACAAGTGTGAATGTTTTACAGGTCATGCTCAGAGAGACAAGAGGGAAGAGAGTATGAGAGATTCAAATTAAGATTATAATACGTTATGATTCTGTCACATCACTTAAATAAACAATTGATTATCAGAGAAAGAACTTGAAAGTATCAAGAATTGCAAAATGAATAATAATAACAAAATGAGCTAAGATAATGGTATTGACAAAGAATAGTTTTAAATCAATAGAGAATAATAATAAGGGATGTAATAAAATAATGATAATAATAACAGTTAATAAGTAAAACGTATTACCACGACAGGTTCAGAGTGACAACCATCTCCTTTTGTACACAAAGACCTAGTTTATAAACTGGAATTGCACAAGCCTCCGCAGTTGCAAGCATCTTCCTGTTTCTTTTTCTGCTGGCAAAAGTGAATGACTTGACAGCATCGATACTATGTCCGTAGTCCACAAGATGCTTTGTTACTTAGCTTTTTGGGACTTTGAATTCAGCTACTTTCAACTACTTTGGTGGATGGGGCCCCGTCATGAGAGTAGACAATTGCTTATCTGTACGACTTATGCATTTGCCTTCACAAATATACACAGTTGGAGGTATTAAGGATTAGCGACCGGTTTTTTGCCAGATTTTTAAAGTACTCACTTGGTGGTGTTAAGGAGTACAAGTTTTCTTTGGCGCGTAATAATTTTAATGAATTCATTGAATAAATCCAACTTAACGAACATTTTTCGCTTGTTCTGAATTCATATCGGGAAATAAAAGTGTCCAATTGTATTTTGGCCTACTGCATAGTGTTGACAGGATAAGTAATCCTGTGTTGTACTTCTATGGTTCAAATAAGATTGTGTTTTGATGTTTAGATGAATGATTTGTCACTGGTTAGTTCTTCTGTTGTGTATAATTGGTCTGTAACTTTTACATGCAATAGAGTATAATACAAATATCATTTGGGCGAAGTTAAAGTATCATGACCAAAGTCAAGGTCTTTCAAAAGTTGACGACTTTCATGAATCGGTTAGACACAGGAAATGCTATGAAATATCATTCCAAGTCAAGTCATGCCTGCCTTTTGGGACTTGGAGAAGATATATACAGTATTTTACTTATTCTCTAGGCATTTTTTCTGCAAATTTATACTGTTAGGTAGGGTTATGGCGTTTAAGATTAAGGTTTAAGATCTAGGGTTAAGGTTAGGTTTAGGGTTAAAGTTAAGATTGAGTTAGGATTATGGTTAGAGTTAGGAGTAGGTTGAAGTGTAGTGCCAGAAATATCGATGAATCTCAGAGTACCATAACCCCTACAGTAACCTGGATGAATGGGTATATCGGACATGGTACGATTTCTCCATACATCATCTGTGACTGGGAGACATTCTTACAACACTTAAGCTACAACTATACAGTGAAATATCAAGTCTGCAATATCTTTCACTGTATTTTCCTACGATTATGCGACCTATTTTTGCATTTGGGTTCTTATTGTTTATTCAAGATCACTGTGGTTTTGGTTATGATAGTTTAACTTTGCCATCATTTGTTATTCGAAATGATTGTGGATCATAAACTTATGTGTGACTACTTCTCTTTGCCTTCCCCGGCCGACAACTGTTACCTTGCTGTGGTGGTCGGGCTTGAATACCGCAGTGGCCCAACAAGCTAAACTGGCTGGGACTCATGTCGCTGCAGGTCCTACCATGTCAGGAAATTTGTTTGGATAGCGGTTAGACTAAAAGCGGTCACCATAGGGTACATGGACTCCAGAATCCAGTTGGAGTATGAACCCATATGGGTCACCGGAAACCATGGAAATGCAGCTCCTGATGCTGCTCCGCTGCCTTGCGGATTAGACCCCATGTCAAAGGCTCGGTGGGAGGTCCCTTAAGAAAACCACCTGCTTCGATCTGGGCGCCCGGGCAGTATATCAGCCCTCACACAACAGATGAAATGTGTGGTGCCATATTGTACCAAGTTTTTTTCTGCGTTTCAATAATCATAATAATATCTCTTTGCCTTCTCTTTTTTATGTATAATTCCTTCTTTTTTCTATTATGCAGGTGATTGAACATGCAGATTTTAAGGTTGGAGTTGAAATTGACGGAGTTACACATCGTGTATATGTTCTCAAACGACCACATGTTGATTTATTCCTATCAACAATGGCCAATTTATATGAATGTGTATTGTTCACTGCTAGTTTAGCTAAAGTATGTGATTTTTAAGTTTTTTTTTGTTTTTTTGACAATAATTTGATTGATTCACTGTTCAGTATGTTAAACTTCACCTTTTACATTTATTAGTGATTATATTAAGCAAACCTAGATTGTTTAAAGTGGATGAATGTCTGATTCCACTTGAAACAGATTCACCTAATACATTGAGAGCATTAAATAGTACTATAATCCTTCAAATCACATAATTTGTTTGCAGTATATATATATATATATATATATATATATATATATATAACGAGTTTCTATCGTGGTATTTTTATTATTTCTTTTAAATTTTATTCCTTTGCGTTCCCAATGGAACATAGGGCTTCTATCTAGAGCTTTAAAGTTTCAGTAGCAGGGGTGTTTTTCACGGGGTGGGGTTGCTAGCCTCACACTTAACCTTCCCTCTTTATCGAGATTATAGCTGACTAAGCGAGGTTTAGGAGTGCGCCAGTCAGGACTCGAACCCCGGACCGCGTGGTTGGTTGGCTAGCATTCTGAACCACTGTACCGCCGACGCACACCGGGCCTATCGTGGTATTACGTAACTGTTTTTCCTGCCTACTGTTTGTCGTTTCCTGATAATTGTATTTTGGGAAATAATTCCTTTAGGGAGTATTTATGTCGTCTTGATGTGTTCATTGTCTCTAAATAAAACCATACTAATGTGTTTCACTGGGATTTGCCAATCTTCAGAATGGGGGAAGTTTTATACTCTTTCACACTCGAGCAGTTCCCCTGTTTAGTTTGAACAAAGAGCGAAAGAATATGTTCGCTCTCCTTGTTTATACTCTTTCAGCAGTGATAGATAGTATATTGGTACGCTCTTTTTCCTTGATTAGTTTCGACAAAACAAGAACGAACATATTGACAGTCACGCCTGGTATCTCATCGTATCATCAATGAGTGACATTGGTATTTTCATTATTACCACAGCAAAACCAGAACCCTTATCTGATCTAAGGACATCATTGTTTTGTAGGGTTTTTATTTTTCAACACCAACCTGTCCTCTTCAATGAACAATTCCAACTGGACGGCAAGCGAAATGTTCGCTTTTCGCCTTATCCAGTATTAATTATCATTCAGAGTGTGACTTTTGCATTTTGCTAAATATTTATTGTGTAGCAGATTTCTTTTCACTGACTAGTAATTAGTGCATGAAATTGTTGGTTAGGCTTAGTCTTGGAATTCTATTATACCTCATTCTACTCTCATGTGACTTTTGAATTGATGCAATTATTGTGCAAACGTCTCAGCTGTTAAAAGGCAATCATTATATACTGCTTAGATTTTACAGTATGTTACTACTTCCTATTGTTAGTGTTCCCTTTTGTACATTTGTCGTTGTTGGACTATATTCAATATAATCATTTCGAGTTTAATCACGGATAAATGTCAATTAGAGCATACCGGACAACTGTTCCACCCTAGTTTGTGACTCTTCAACAGTACGCACCCTTAACCCTTCCGCGGTTCGGACGCCAGAACCTTCCGGTTACAAGGCGAGCTCTTTGATCATTCACTCCTATGGCCTATGAATCCAAACTTCTGTCGATTTCTGTCAATCAGCTATCCAGTGCTCCTTGGTAGTTTTTAGTGGTTCTCTAACTGATATCAAATTGTGATTAAACTTGTAACCATAGTAACATGGAAAATGTAAGGGTTTAATAAATATGGGAGACCATAAATAGTGAATGAATCTGCACCATAAAGAACGGTTTTGAGGCATATTACCAACAGTTTCCATCCCAGCCACTGGTTCCTAGCTTCTTGAGGATCCTAATCAAGCAGTGTTTATACCAAATGTCAAAGACTTCATGGATTGATTTCACGTTTTGGTTTGATAACCCCTGACTTTTCCAATCTGACCTTATGTCAGCTAATATTGTTCATTGGGGAAGACAATTCTTCTTAAGATCCCATTGAAAGGCTTTGAAAACCCATGTGTTTTATATCCAACGGTGGTCTGACCGGAATATCATGTGTGTGAATTACAAACAGACATTACTGTATGCAGAGAAAAATGTAATAAAACTTATTCTTAAACGCTTCACTATGGGGAGTGAGGAGACAGCAATACGCTGGACCACCGATAAAACGACTCTAAAAGATCTGGATTTTGCAGATGATATATGTCTAATGTCACACAAACTCGAAGACTTGCAAGCGAAAACCCACAAATTGGCTGAAGAGGTAGCGAAAACAGGACTATAGGTGAGCACAGAGAAGACGGACGAAGGTGATGAAGATAACCAATCAACAGCAACAACAACCAGCATCAATCACCATCAACGGGAGAGATTTGTGATAGGTTACCTCCCTCACTTATCTGGGAAGCACAGTTTCAACCACAGGCAGAATGGATGGAGATATCAAAGCAGGCCAGAATCGGAAAGGCAAGATACACCTTCACCAGTCTGCAACCAGTTTGGAAATCATATACCTTCAGTACAAGAAACAAGATTCGGATTTTCAATACAAATCTTAAGTCAGTCAGTCCTTCTATATGGGTCAGAAATTTGGTGCGTAACATGGAAAACATTTCCAACAGGCCACTGCAGACTTTTATCAACAGCTACCTTCGCTAACTCCGTACTGAAGATCAAATGGTCAGAAAGAATAAGCAACAAGAAACTATAGGAACAAACCAACAGGTGAGAGCCGATCGCTCAACAACTAATCATGTAGGTGGAAATGGAGATGGATTGGGCATACATTAATGAGGCCGCCGAATGATATCGCGCGCCAGACCATAGTTCGAGTGGAATCTAAATAGGAAGCGACGAGTGGGAGTGGTCGATGCGAGGGTGACATGGAGGAGATCGTTTGGGGAGGAAAAGATGAGAGATCATGGGCAATCGTGGGGCCAGCTGAAGAGGAAGGCAGAAAACAGAACAAAGTGGAAATGTGTTGTTGAAGTCCTATGTTCCACTCGGAACCAAAGGGAATAATGATAAGTAATAAATGTTTGTGAACACTTAGCGAAATATCACCGCTTCGTAGTCCACATGTGCAGTACATGTTAAAGGCCTCCAAAGTCTCAGGATGGTCGGCGGTGGGTGCCTTGCGCTGCGGGTTGGCCACCCCTCCGTACACCTCTTGAAATGCTCCCATACGACCGGGCGTCTTACATAGCCTCTCCGTAGGAAGTCCTACTCACTGCCTTCACGTGGCGGAGGTGTTTTTCACCGAAGTGAGAGGGCAAAAGCGGATGCCCGGCGCTCTTCACCGGGTTGACTGTCCATTGGATGACAGTCTAGGGGAAATGGCTAAACCCTGATTCCAAACCTCCAACGACTGGCGTATGAAGCTCACCGGTAGACGTATGGATAAAGGGCTTATTGGATGCCCTGGATGTCTGGCCCCATTCAAAAAGGCGTATGAACCGGACTCCGGTCACCGGCTGCCAATGGATAGTGGACTCCCTACTCCACTCCTACTGCCTTGTAGGTCACACTTGGTTGTGTAAAGGCTAGAGCTGCACTCTCAAACAAAAGGCCGAGCGATTCTGGGGACATCACTCGTACATAATTCCCATGAAACTTTGTGGACTCTCTACAACATCAACCAAATTCCAGTACTGGTCCAACAACGTCGCCTTCGGTGGTTTGGCCATGTTCTGCGCTGACCAGATGACGATCTGGTCAAATCAGTTCTAAATCCCTCACCATTTCCATCTTGGCGATGTCGCAGGGGTGGACAGCTGAATACATGGCTTGGTACAATCAAGGCTGATATGGAGTGCCTGGGGCTACAAACCGTCTACGGACTCCGTCTGTGGAACAAGAATTGGATAACCCTGTCGCAAAACCTTGCATCAGATCGCCGCGCCTGGGCAGCGATGAATCGAGATGTTCATGAAGCCGGCTCATCCTCCCGTAGGAGATAGCCGAAGTAAAGTAAAAAAGTAAGTACCTGTTAAAGCTAACTACACTTTACGAGTGAATGCGTCTTTAGTTGATGGAATATGATTTTAATCCACTTTTCAATGGTATAACAGTTAGTCACGATTCACTTTGTCATTTTTTTAGTAATTAAAGTTATCAACAGTACTTTTTAAATATCGTTGACTATTTGTTTCGATAATAATAATATTATTATTATTTTTGACTAAGTCATCTAACATATTGAATATGACACTATATAGAGAGCTTTATCATTTCATTCTACTGTTAAGTAAGTAAGTAAGTACTTCTGAAATTGGCCAGCTAACAGGAAGAATTGTAATGTTTATGCTTAAATGTTGTACTTTTATAATTTGTTGTATAGTGGAGTATCTGCAGTATATAAATGCAGGACATATAACTTTAGTAAACAACATAAATACTATTAGTAGGATAAATTGTGATACATTTAAAATTAGAATAAACAAATCCTCTACTAGTTAGTAAATAAACTCCATTGTAGGTTGTTGTTAGTCAGTTCAATCAATGAAATTTTAACTAGATAAAATAAGCATATAATGAAGCAACGCACGCGAAAATCTTTCTTTTCTATGCTGTTGGTTGTATGTAATAAAAAAAAGAATGTGGTTATTTTACTGGTAAAATTGCCTCCTAGGCATAACATAAATAAGCACGGAGAATACCAGTACCAATAATGGTAGGTTTGATTCAGCGTAAGAATTTCATTTTTGTTCAATTTAATGTTATGTTAGCATCATCAAAAGCAGCAGTCTTTGAGGCATAAGTAAGTAGGTGAAATGGTTTCTACTTCCTGATTGTTGATGTTGTTGGTGGTGGTGTCGATGTTTGCTTCATAATACTTTTCAACTTTGTGAACTACATATATCGGATAGGTACAGTGCTTTGTCTACCCGTTTGTTGTTTATAGACTTCTAAAAAGCGAATGTTCGCTTAATTAGCAGCAGTTTGTAATGTATTATTGTTATTATTATTATTCCCTTGGGTTCCGAGTGGAACATAAAGCTTCAGATGCACATCTCCACTTCACCCTGTCCTCTTCAGTCTGTTTTACCTGGCACCACGATGACCCATATTCTCTCACTGCCTCCTCACACAACCTCCTCCATGTCACTCCCGGACGCCCAACTTGTTGCTTCCCCTTGTCACCTTTCCCTAGAGGGCCTGGCGAGTGGTATCACTCAATGGTCTCTTCAGTGTGTGTGTGTGTCCAATCCATCTGCACTTTTCTCGGCACACTTATTGGGTATCAGAGTTCCTTGTCACTTGCTTTCTTTTTCTGGTCAGGCATCTATTTTTCAGTATCGAGCTAGCGAAAGCAACTGTTGATTAAAAAGTCTGCAAGCCATGGCGGTTAGGACGCTCGCCGACCATGCACATGGTTCGGGGTTCGATCTCCGGCCGACGCACTCCTTTACTTCGCTAATCCAGAAATAATGCTAGGAAAGAGGAAAGGTTAGGCATGAGGCTAGCAATCCCACCCTGTAAAAATAAACACCACTCTACTGAAACTTCAAAGCTCAAACTTGAAGCCCTACATTCCACTGGGGTAACGCAAAGGAATCGGAGAGACGAAGTGATGCGTGGTGGTGGTGAAAGCTTTCGATAAGCTAGATAGTCGATATGTTTTCTTTTGGTGAAAGCAAAAATATGCTTGTACGATGTTTGAAGCTGGTAAGGTTGCTGAAATCCTACAAAAGAAGTGAGAAGTTATAGTACAGAAATGAAAACGGATGAAATATTTTTTACTCAGTTCCATATTAATTTATACATACGTTGTTTTATTTGAATAAAACAAGAACAACAGTGGTTTGTGCAGAATGATAATAATCAATGTAACTGCTCCCGCAGATACATTGGAAGGATACAAAGAAGGGCATATTTACGATTTTCTGAACATGTACCAAAAAGCTTACGTCTAAAGGGAACAAATGCTTTAAACAGTGCCATCGCCAGGCATCTCGACACGGGTCATGAGGTGGAAATCGAGAAATCCTTTAAAATTATCAATACACAAAGGAGCTCCATTCTCCTCAAGTTTGCCGAAGCAATTTCTATCAAACGCTTGAAACCAGATTTATGTGTTCAGAAAGAAGCAGTTATTAACCTTTCCTCGCCCTGATAACTGAATGTCTCTATTCTCTCACCTAATTACGTAATCTTTGTCTTTAACCACACGTTGCTTTTATAATCTGTAATTTTGCTTGTCTCTTGTTTCTTTGATTTGAATTAAACTCAGTACATCGTTACCTAATTTATTAGTTACTCATCGTCTTACTCACCTCTCGTCTTTATTACGTAACTCCTTTACCACTGTACGCATACATTTATTTCGACTTGAACTGCCTGTGAAAAAACTACATAAGCATAATTTTCTGAGCACTGTTCATTAATTGTGGAACTTTCTGTCAACTGACAACATGTAAAATTTGCAAGTATGTTAAAACGTTTCTGTACGTAAACCTCATAATTTATTTAGGCTGTAAGCAGGTAGCTGATAAGAAGCCAACGAAATAACACAATGATGGTACCATATTATTCTGCACAAACCACACTGTTGTTCTTGCTTTATTCAAATTCATCAAGGGGGAATAAATACGTTGTTTTAATTTATCTTTTTCTCTTCACATTATTGTTCCAACTATCGACCGAAGGCTGGGTGTACTGCTCATCAGTCCGCTCCGTCCTCCTTTATGGTTGTGAGACCTGGCCACTGAGAGTGGAAGACATGAAAAGATTAGCTGTCTTTGATCATAGGTGCCTGCGTTTTATCTCCCGTGTGAAGTGGCATAATAAGGTGAGCAATATTGAGGTTAGGCGTCGAGTTCTAGGTAAATAGGGGAAATCAATCGGCAAAGTCGTGAAGTTACAAAGACTGAGATGGTTAGGATATGTGTTAGGTATGCCTAGTCATCGCCTTCCTCGACAACGGGCAATGTTAGCTGATATAGGATCAGGCTGGAATAAAGCTAGTGGAGGTCAAACAAAAACATGGCACCAGTCAATGAAATCTACAACAACCAGTTTAAGCCACGTAGGAAGGTGTAGACTTCCTGACTGGTTGGGGTCCTCGGGACGGTAAAAACCAATGGCTGGGAACAATCGGTGATATGGCTCAAAATCGTTCTCAATGACGCAGATACATCCACTCCTTATGATTTCCAATGAAACTGTTTTGTTCTTCGTTACTACTCTTCCTTTGTCTCACACCTCTGCTTATTGTCTCTATTATGCTTTTCTTGTACTTTCTTCTCTTGCTTTGTGTGCTACATGGAGTGTGGCGACTTGAACTTCCGCACATTTGTGCAAAGTTCTATGTCGAAAACAGACAGACATACATTGTTCACTTATTCCCCTGTTTTATTTCTTCGACTACACGATCCAATCAATTTTTTTTACTAAACACCAGCCATAATAACAATGGTAGTAATAGTAGTATTCATTATGATAGTAATAACCATATTTATTTTTCTGTTTGTTTTTGTTCTCCTCCGATGTTTTGTTTTAAAAAAACCTAGTACGCTGATCCAGTTGCAGACTTTATTGACAAATGGCACGCTTTTCGATATCGGTTGTTTAGAGAATCCTGTGTATATCATCGTGGTAATTATGTGAAAGATTTAAGTCATTTGGGTAGACCAATTAATCAAGTTGTTATTTTGGATAATTCACCAGCATCGTATATGTTTCATGCAAGTCATGCTGTAAGTAGTTTATTTTCTATTTTTCTTTTTCCTCTTCTTTTTCGCCTTAGTATTGTCAAAAAAAGAATTCACTTCAAGTATTGCAATTGATTAGGGAGCTAGGCGCTCGACTTCCAACCAGTTGTTTGGGTCATGGACCTGGAACCTTGCTCCACCTATCGAAATATGGGCAGTCAGGTGATATAATAATAAGTGTGTGTTGCTCATAGCCAACTGCATGGAATTGCAATTAGTTGTTGAGTACTATTCATTCATTGTATCATTGATGAACTTATTTATCAGCTGTAACATATTACACTTTAATTATTCATGTTAAAAGGTGTGAATAGTCTTCATCTATTGACTGACTAGCTATGATACATTGAGTAACAATGTTTATCCGTTCGTTAATTGTTCTCTTCTTAAAAAGGTCGGTTGTATAAACCTTTTTTTAGATATAGATTTATTATTTACAAGTGTTGATAATATGCAATAATCTATCTCCCACAGTCAGCACTCACTGTGACTGTTCTTATTATGCTTTGGCTTAGACACGCTTAGACATGCGTGACACTACTATAAGTGATATGTGACCTAAATCACTTGCGGTGGTGTCTATAGGTACACCCATCCCTGATCACCATCTAAGTCATCAAAACTCTGTTATTATTCGTTGCTTTTCTCAACCGTCTCCTTTTTAAGAGTTTATGAAGTTGCTGACTTTCTATGATGAGTCCCGACTGCGATAGCTACTACCTGGATGTGGTAGTGGTGTTTGGGCCTGTGCACTGTGATGACTCAACGAACTACGCTAATTGGAATTAATGTTCCTGCAGGTGTTCTGCCATTATAATAGTCGTTTGAATAACGGTCAGACTAAAAGCAAACAATTACCATCATAGTTGTAGGTTGCTTATACTATGTTGGGGGTCTGTGAGTGAAGTTTTACTTTGGGGAATAGGGATGTGGATGTAACAGCAGTAAGGTGTTTCTCTTCGAAGACCAGCATGGAATTTATACTGTTTCTGCATTTTGGAGTAGTGGTGGTGGTGGGGGGGTTAGAAAAATTCGTCTCCGAAGATTGTACATGTCGACGTGAAAAAAAAAGAAACGATGGCTAGGTGTAGTACTACTAAATCTATAAAGTTACTATCTGCTGTGGTAGATTGTTTAGAGAAATAGAGTCTACTTGAATGTGGTTCACATGACATTTGGGACGCATAGTGTGATTATTAGTAACAAATCTCATAATTACAAGTGTGTGTTCGTATTTCACCTTCAATTTGTTTGGCTAACTGATCAACACAGAACTTTGCATAAAAGTAAGTCAGTTGAAGTTATCAAGATGTCAACTCTCCATTACCTCATACATATGGCTGCATGAGTTCAATGAGGGTATCTTGATTAGTACAGCTTATTTTTCCCACACTCCTTTTTATAGTCAAACATTGTAGAAGGATGAATATATGGTCAATGCACTCTTATCCGGGGCTAAAACCCATTTGGTTTTCTCAGGGGTTTTTTTTGGGGGTGGGTGGGGTGGAGGGTAGCTCCGTTTACTGTTGGCAGGATTATAGAACCTACCATCTGAGGTACTATGCTAGTCAAGCTAATCCTCTTTGATATCGATCTGTATGTATTTATGTAAAAACATGATTTGGATAAGAGAAATATTTTATTAAGTATTCTAAACGTTAATATATTCTGTTCCCTACCTACTTAGCTCATGCTGAAGACTCAGTTTCTCTATTTCATAGCACATAATAATGCTCATCTGAAGAATGTAAATTATGTGACACCATGAATTTTCATATTCTTACAGATTCATTATGCTACTAGGGAATGTAAAATCGTGTCTTAGTTACCTTTAATCTAGTAAAATATTAACATTCATTGTTAGATTCTGGAGGATTTGTGTGTGTGTATATATATACTGGAAAAAATCGTTGTCAACCTAGTTTTTTCTGATTGTTAATGGCTGTCAACAACAGGTGTCAGTTACGTTGAACAAACTCGCGTTCTCAAACCCACACAGCTGTATAAGAGCTGAAATGGTAAAAACCAAGTGTATCCGTCAGAGATGTCCACTATCTCCCTTTCTGTTTTATTTGTATCTGTTTTCGACATAGAACTTTGCACCGATGTGCAGCAGTTCAAGTCGCCACACTCCATGTAGCACACAAAGCAAGAGAAGAAAGTACAAGAAATACAAAATAGGAACAGTAGACAGACATATGAGACAATAGGAATAGTAATACTGAAGAACAGTATAGTTTTATTGGATATTATAAGTCATAAGGAGTGGATGTATCTGCGTCACTAAGAACGATTTTGAGCCATATCACCGATTGTTCCCAGCCATTGGTTTTTACCGTCCCGAGGACCCCAACCAGTCAGGAAGTCTACACCTTCCTACGTGACTGGCTTAAACTGGCTGTTGTGGATTTCATTGACTGATGATGTCATATTTTTGTTTGACCTCCACTAGCTCTTTTCCAGCCTGACCATATGTCAGCTAACATTGCCCATCAAGGATGTCATCATAGATGTATTAATAGATACAACTCTAGCTAATCTTAGTGACTTAAGGATTGACTTGTTACTAGGGGACAGTCTTGTTGATTTCAAGTATGTGGATGATATTCTCATCATAGATGACCACACTGACAAAATGCAGATTCTTCTAAACAACTTGAACAACAATCTTCGAATCGTTTCACATGCGATTCGGCCCTGTGAAACGTAAGGTCATGCTGTAGCACTGGTCAGGACCGACTTCTAATTTAAAGATAACGAGTGGACTGGTCGAGATTGTTGGTCCTTTCACACATGTAGATGTTGATGGTGACTTTCAGTGGGATCCAGATACGCGTTTCGTCCTTTTCGAGACTCATCAGCATTTCAACTGGAAATGCAAATTAACATAAAAACAAATAATAAATGTGACGTGCTCCACTATAGACAGTTTTCGTGGTCCAGTGGATAATGCTTTGGGGTTTGAAATGATGGATGGAGTGTTCGAGTCTCAGTGGGACATCGTCACTTTCTGGGAATTCTGGTAAATCTAGATGAGGAGTCGCAAATAGGACGAAATGCGCATTCTGAATTCCACTATCAGTCACCGTCAACCAAAATAACTTGTTTTCTCTACCTTTGTCTGCCTTTGTATGCTACATAGACTGTGGCAACATGAACTGATCAGCTTCTGTGCAAAGTTCTATGTTGTGTAACTCAATCTGTCAGTCAGTTAGTCAGTCTTCCTAGGATTCAAACTCCAGTTAGATTACTGGGCTGTATAGGTTGCAGCCAATCACATCCTTTTGTTTGAGATCAACTTTTTCCTCTCGGAAATATTCTACAATCGTGTGATTGCTTTTTTTGTTGTTGTTATCTTTAGGTTCAAATCTCATCGTGGTTCGATGATGCAAATGATCGTGTTCTATTAGATTTAATCCCTTATTTTGAGAAACTTGCAACTCAACCGAATGTTGTTGATTTTCTTAAGAATAATGTTCCGCCTACTCCATTTGCTGCCGTCGGTACAGTTGGTTTACCTGCAAGTTTATTTCCGCATACAGCATTTCCTGTTAGTGGTAAATCCACTGCTGATGGTAACTCAATAATATCGAGTATAAAACGTCCAACTGTTGCATCTCCATTTCCAGTATCTTCTGCTGATAATCGCTCTCAAAATCAAAATCAAATGTCATCCACTAATACTATCACCAATGCTCCTTCGACTACTATTGCCACTACTACTACTTGTACGACTGTTTCAACACCTATAGAATCTAAAACAATAGTAGGTTCAACTAACTCTGATACCCTACCGGTTATCACTAAATTAATACCATCTAGCAGTGGTCCTACACTAACACCTGTAGCAAAGAAACAAGATGTTTCCACTTTTCCAGCGCCTTTATCTTTAGCCGCCTATGTACCTATCACTTCACCGTCATCTTTGAATGCTATAGCTAGTAGCAAAGTATATCCAAGCAGTAGTTCAGTGCAAACATTTATCCCTGTTACCAATACAAATTTATCCAATTCATTATTATCATCATCAAATGAAACTGTATCACCACCACCATCATCATCACCACCACCACCTCAAATATCTGAAGAAGTCTCAGGTATTTCATCGGTATCATCGCCAAAGTCTTCAACAAATCAATCCTGTCACATTCCTTGTGTTGTTGTTAAATCTACTGAACAGAATTCAGCTGTGAATAAGCAAAAGATTGCATTGAATTCATCATATCATCAAAAGAAACCATTGCATACAAATAAACGATTTGTTAATGTATCAAATTATTTCAAATCGAATCCACATACTACTAATAATACTACTAATACGACTGCTACTACTACTATTACAACTACAACTACTGTAATTGGTGAAAATCATGATCGTCGTCCATTATCATCGGATAAAAAGAAGTGATGATATGCAATGAGATGAGAAGTGTCATTCATTCAATTGAGATGTAACCTATCCGGCTATTCGTATTGATTGATTGACTGGCTGACTGATATTATTTGGTGTGTGTGTATGGTAATGAGATTACTGACTTGAGTTAGTCTCATCTTCCTTCTTCACCTTCAGAATTAGTCAGTTAGTTAGTTAGTTAGTTAATCATTCATCTTAAACCATTGTGCCAAAAAAAGACATGCTTTTCATTCGAACAACACATCACAATAAAGCGCCTATACATGTAGACTTTTAAATATTTTCCCTCAGGCATGTTTGAGATGATTTTCGCGGTCAATAGCCGGTGTTTTTTTCACTACTACACTCTTGTCGCTCTCTCCCTCTCTCTCTTACACACATACACAGTCTGTCACTCTCTTTTCTATCTGTCTCATGTACGCAATAGTGATCAAGTCTAATTAATTTTGTTAGAAATATAGATTTCTGTTTGCTCAATAATAGTAATACTACTACCACTATGTAGTACTACTGAGAGTGATAATAGTAGTACTGCTGATGATGATAATAATGATAATAGTAGTAATGTATCCCTCCATATATTATTCTCCTCACTGTATTCTTGTTTATAGTGTGAAAGATTTATTTGTCGTACAGGGGAGAGAATGCACACTGGTATGTATATTAATTTGTGTGTGTGTGTGCATGTGCGTTTGTGTACCTGCATAGGCGCATATATTTTGTATAGTACTCAAGTATGCCACTGAGTGACTACTTTTAGCATATACTCCAGCTGATATATATACATATATTTATTTAATTTCACTGAAAATTTTTCTCTATTTTGGAGATTTTAGTTTTATTATTTGTATTTACAGTGAAAAGTTAACTGTCCTATCTTCCTCTTTTTCGTCTCCAGTCTTCTTGATCTTCTTTTATCCAAAGATGTTAGTTGACTTTCATATTTAACTTTGAGATAAAATAAATAGTTTAGTTGTATTTTATTCATTCAAAGTACTTTTGATTTTGTATTTGCGTATTTCGAATTCATATTTCGAGCTAACAACATTGGACATTTATTATTCTTATTATTTACGTGCAATATACACTGCTAATCAGAGATTTATTCATCTTTCTTGTGTCCCGGCCCCTACCCCGGCAGCCCACCCCAGCGCCTTCCCCAATTCCCGATATCACTTTCTCCTCTTCAATGTATTATTTGAACAACTTTTCAAGCTTTATTTTTCATTTCACATCAATCTACTCATCATCATCAGCAGCAGCATCATCATCATCGTCATTCATTATTATTTGTATATTTGCATTTTGCGTAATATGTTGTGATGTGATTACATTTCTTATTACGTTGATTATTTATTTAATTTATTTATTCATTATTATTGCTATTATCGCCATCATCATCGCTGTCATCTTCTCTTGGTTTATACTCACTCACTCCCTCCTTACAGCATATTCACAGTAATCTCATGTTTATTTTAACTGGTGATGTAATATATTTAGCCTCGAATGTATACTTATACATTATTTTTATTTTATTTTTGAAGATACTACTTAATTTGGCTTGGTTTGTGTTTTTGTTTATTTTTATTGCTTTTTTTGTGTGGCTTTTCTCTAACTCGTCTTTAACTATTCACCTTTATTATTATTATTATTATTATTATTATTATTATTATTATTATTTATACATATACACCTCTTTTGGCCAGTTAGGGAGTGTTGTTAGGTAGTTGTAACCACTTTCTCTTACACTATTAATGTTGTTTCTTTTTGGTGGTCTTGTCCTGATTTTATATTTACACTTATTCACCTCTGTCTGTCTGTCTCTCTGCTCTATCTCTCTAGGCGCGCACACACACACACACACACACGTTCGTTCACATACCCAAAGATCAACCAGATTGTGCTTATTGTGTTTATAGACTGTGTATTAACGTGAAGTGTGTATTTGAATCTCTCTCTTCGAATACCTTTGAAGAATGAAAGACTACAGATATATATATGTATACATACTACCAAGATTCTTTACCAGTATAGTATAGAAGAGATATTAATTCCTTCTCTATTGATTTCTGTCCGGTTTTTCGTTTGTATTTTTCTTTTCGTCTATACATATATACATACTGTATATGCTGACTTGTTTACAAGCTGTTTTAATTTCAGATTTTCGTTTATTTCTCCCGCCCTACCCCCCCCCCATTTCCATCCAAAAATAGAGTGAATCACGCGCACAACAGAGAAACACACAATGCTTGTGTGTATGTGTACGTGTGTATGTTGTATATGTTTGTATATTGTGTGTGTGTATATGCGTACTGGTGGTAGTGAGATATTTTTCCCTGTTTATTTTACTGGAATCTAACAATAGGTGTTGGATAGGCGCGTGTACACACACAAATACACACACACATGCATAGAGACATACATACATACACGTGTATCTATATTTGGTGCCTTTCACAATTTAATTTTGATCCTTTATTGTAAAATAAACAAAAGATGAAAAGAGAAACTTATTCATGAAAAAAGAAAAGAAAACGTGTGTATTGAGTTTCTTTTATTCTTTTGGTTAACTTGTTGTGCGCTGATGATTTCATAATTAGTTAGTTAGTTAGCTGTTCATGGTATTCGTTAGGGTTAGTATCCTGAAGGTGATCCTTACTACCAGAGACTTATCGAAAGGAATGAGATAGATGTCAGTTCAATGTTGAATATTTTGTCAACTGTTATCGTTTATGATTGGTGTATGGTGACTAGCAGTGGAATCCAGGCTGCGCATTTCGTCCTGTTTGGGACTCGTTATCTGGATGTACCTGCATTTCCCAGTGAGTGATGATGATGTTCCCACTGAGGCTGAAACCAATCAATCGACGGGAAAATCTAAAATTCAATTAAATGATGTCGTTTATTTTATTTTGACCGATAGCTGCTACCTTTGGATGGTGTGCTGGTTGCACTTGAATATCGCTATCAGCCAACGAGCTGTACTGGCTGGAATTAATGTTCCTCCGGGTTCTACTATTATAGAAAAATCTTTTGGATAGTAGTTAGACTAAAAGCAATTACCGTCATATTGTAGGCTGTTTATACTATTTTGTGGGTCTGTGGGTAACCACCGTGAGTTGTTTCCTTTTGATGACCACCATGGCGGCTATTATGTTGCCTTACCATTCTGAAAAGGGGAGGGGTTGGAAAATACCGACCCCGAGAATTATACACCCCCCACTTGCCTTGCCGGTAATAAGACCTAAGTAAGGACTTAACTGCAAACACTACTTCAAACAGGTTGTGTGTGAGCGACTTGAAGCAGTTGTCTCTTTGCCTCATGCAACATCAGTTCTCCTTGTGTTCCGGGTACACCAAGAAGAAATTAACTTTCATGGAAGGGATCAGCTGGAAAATAATGATTGCTTACACCCTTTTAATGAGCATACATTCTTTCCATACTATTACACTTCATTTCAGCTAATTAGTTGATGTGAATCAGTCTCACCAATTTTAGGCAGAATTTGCGATGATACACACATATGCATATCCATCTCCTTTTCTGTATTCTGGTATTTTCTAGTCCTTTAGGAAGACTCAAAACTTTAGTTCCAAGAAAAACTATATTCAGTTTAAATGTAGTGAACTTAATTTGCTATTTCGCAGCGCATTGGGGTGTGTGCTTTAGTTAGATTCGAAAAGAATAACCTAGTGACGTTTGAAATGATAGATGTTGGGTTTGAGTGTCAGTTAGGAACACCATGAGTCACTGGAGAAGCACGTATGTCCGGTCGATGAGTTCAAAACGGGACGAAACATGCCTCCTGGGTTTTACTTTTAGCCTCCCCCACTGAACAAGTACTCCAGCTTAGAACGAAGCATCCTTTGAAATGAGCCCACTCCAGGTATACCAAACAGAAATCACAAATATAAATAGGAGTAAATATATACTTGTAAGGTGTTTCAATCAAGACATAACTATTGTTTTATCCTGTCTGATTTTGACATTCTAGATAGCTGCATCTGTTTTTTTGATTAGGTAGTGAAGATTGCATGTAACTGTGTGAGTTTCTTATAGCAATCTCCCATAGTCACTATGAATTAGTTTGATCGAAGCTTCTTTTAAGCATTTGTGTCACTAGTTAAATCGTCATTTTACCATAAAAAGTACTCTGAAAGTTTGTTGATTATATCTCTGTCATCCGTCTAGACACTCTCTGTGCGCGATCCTCATAACAGGTATAATAATAATAATTTATTCTTCACGTTTCAAGTGAAATATAGGGCTTCAGAGGATTTCAGATCTACCTACAAGCCTTAATTTCTTCTCCATATTGTCTTCTCCATGTCCAAGCCGTCGCTTCCCACTTGGGTTTTCTTCTGGACAGTTTAGTGTTTGGTGTCACTTCAATGTCTTCTTAGAGACTGTCTGGATATTTGTTGGGTAATAGGGTTGTTGGCTGTTTTTGCTACTTGCTTATCCTTTCTGGCTGGACATCTAATTTCCAGTATCCAGCGAAGACAGCTAGCCGTTAATGAAAGTATTCAGAAGCCTTTTGAAAGTGTCCTTCCTAGTATGTATGCTAAGTCTTTAAACGATACAGAAACCCTAATTTGACAGTAGTGTTGAAGATCTGAGAATCTTGTTCTTTATGCTGAGTGCGGGAGATTTCCACACCAATTTTTTAGCGTACTGAACGCCTGTTTTGCTCCTCCAATCATGCATGGCCTTGACGTTATCAGCTGTGCTGCCTGTATCTGAGGTGTTGCCGTCCAGGCAAGTGGAAGAAACGACTTCTTATAAATTTCTCCTATTAATGATGACTGGTGTTTGTTGTTGTTGGTTGGTTGGTTATCTTCGTTACCTTCGTCTTCTCTATGTTCACTTGAAGTTATTCCTTCGCTACTTCTTTTCGATAGTGCGTGACACGAGATGTAATAATTATTTCTATTCGTTCCTTGATTTCCGTATGGAAGAACATAGGACGTCAGAAACACACCGTTACACTCGGATCTATGCCATCGCTTTTGTATGGCTACACGATTTTCTTACAAGCTTTCATTTCCTCCTTACATAACACTGTAACATCCAACTCTTTGCTCACCATACAGGTACCACTCGACAGTCTGATGTATGATGGTTACGAATGTAAAAAGATGATTTTTATTGCTAACCTCACTAGAGGTTCAGTAGTAAAACGTGTTTAATCATTTACTACTACACATATGATAAGTGTAAGTGAGAAAGCCAAAAAACACGTTTTCTAAAATTCATTTATGCAGTTTCATAGAAAATTCCTCTTCATTGATGTGTTGCCATCTAATCGCAGCATGCTTTTAGAAAAAGTAACCTTTTATATATGCTAAGTCCAAAGATCAGACTGATATTGAAAGTCAAGCGTTGGTTTCCAGGGATTTGATTGGTTTTCAGGGTTTCATCATGAAGTGACATTGATTAGAAGACCATTGGAAAAACTGTAAGGAGTATTGGACAGCTGTTTCCATTGTCCTAGTTTGGGACCGGCTCTTCAACAGTACGCACACACTGAGGTTCGAACCCAGAACCCCCTGGTTGCATGGCGAGCATGTAGACCATTAAGGTACCTTGTACTTTAGTAACATAAAAAATTTTTCTGTTACTGGATATCACTGACCAAAGGTGGATTATAAATACGAAGTGTGTAATTGACTACCGCTTTACAACTGCCCACATTATTGGAAGTTGATTCCTTTCTGAAATACCTGGAAGAGAAAGAGCATTAGTGTTGTTTGATTGCAGAGCCTAGCGGACAGCTACTTGAGGTCGACAATACACGACTACACGTATCCAGAGTGGATTTTTGGAGTTGTGTGTAAGTTGGGATGTACATGTCTTATGATCAACCTTTACTAATCACCTCTTTTCCTAAATCGTGAAAGCAACATGACTAGCTTGCTGGTAATCAGTACGACTTCACTCATAGACCCGCAAAATAGTGACGCTAATTGGTCTAGCCTAGAGACGTTTCTGTCATAGTAAGACCTGCAGGAAAATGGTTTCCAGCTAGTTTGGTTCATTGAGATATACAAATGTAATTATTACTTTCGCGTATCAGATATCGGGCGAGAGATTTCCATGTTAAAATACAGTAGTTTATTTAACACAAATTTCTAAAATATTATATCTTTGAAAATGGTTAATTGAAAGGAATTTCAAATATAAGAGGACACGATGGTCTCAGGTTACAGTTATTCAGTATCGTTTTAGTTGTCAATACCAAGTAAATTATTCAAGTGTTGGTTTGTAGGGATTTGATTGGTTACAGGATTTCATCGTGAGCTGACGTTAGTTAGAGAACCATTGGAAGACCTGGGAGTACAGGACAGCTGCTTCGATTAGATGCATATTAGAGACTTGCCCTATTCAGGTAGATAGTGACCTGGGGTTCTAGTGAGAAGTCGTGACCTGTAGGGTGCAGCAGGTCGGGTTTGAGGACAAATACTCGCCAAAGATATTGGCTGGGGGTCACGCTATGTCGTGAATTGGCAGAAGTCAGAATTCATGGACTTACCATTGGATCGGGTCCCAGTGGCTCAACGGTCTATGAGCTAGCTCGCCTTGTAACCAGAAGGTCCTGGGTTCGAAACTTGGCGGTAGGTGCGTACTGGTGAAGAGTTCCAAACTAGGACGAAACAGCTGTCCAGTACTCCCTGCAGGTTTTCCAGTGGTTCTGTAACTAATGTCAACCCACAATGAAATACTGTAACATTGTAAATTGACGGTACAAAAGAAGTTATTAAATACCCCTAATTACGTATACTTAAAGACTCACTTCATTTCAAATTGTAAGTTCCCTACAAATTTCATAGAAGTACATTGTTATCCTCAATGCATTTTGAACAGCTGAATGATCCTATATCGTCTTATAATGTATCTCTCCCATTAAACCACAATAGTGTAACATCTAGTAAGCGCTCAACTGATTGGTTTAGCTTCTACTGCATCATTTCAAATACGGCACGCCTAACATTATATTTCACATACTTAAACATATGATAAGATAGACACATTATTTCACCAATGACATTTCTAATTTGGAATTCAGGGGAGACTTAACTGCAAATATCCTTAAGAGGAAAATCTTCACTTCCCCAAAAGACGACCTTTTCTGCAGTGACTCTAAGAGTAATATACTCCAGCCACCCACTGCTTCGAAGCAATATGAAGAACATACTTTGGCATATGACCAATTCATTATGCATACATCAGTTCACTTGCTTGTGTGGAGCTAGGTACATCAGTCATTCCATATGGATTCTATCAAAACGTGTTAGAGAAAATTATCAAGTATGACTGCAAAGACGAGGCACTGGTTCAACCAGAGGCGCCATAAATGAATACCTATCACAGCATCTTAACTAACTGATCATTGAACGCCATTTACAAAGTAAACCATAATCTATCAATGGCAGTATGTTTCCGACTTCTTTGTAGTGCAAAAGCTATCGGCATATGTATCGAAAAACCGAAGCTGTGTGTTCAAAAGAAACTAGAAAT